GCACTTATTTCCAGAAAGCTATTTAAAAACAGACAATCTCGGAAACAAGGGCCATTGGGACTTAATAACAGGTCCAATTTTAAAATCAAATCAATATATTTGCTCTTATGTGAATAATAATATCACTACTTATAAATCACCTCCATATGAATGATCAAAATCCGAATGAATATTGACAGCTTCACAGTCAGAAGACTGGAGACCATTCAATTATTAACTACTTTTCCGCATCAGTAGGATTTTGTAATGGTACTTACTATACAGGTATTTGTTTCTTTATTGAAAAAAAATCTTTGCAATTTAACTTTTTTGTTTGGTGGTTTTCTTGTTTTACAAGTTTTGAAGTAGACTTAGACACACTTACTTGTAATAGAATTAAAAATAACCTGATGGCAGAGTAATTAATTCTCTTTGTTATACAAAATGCAGCAGAACATCCAGAATCAAATAATATTTATGATTAATAATGTGGTTAAATGAAAATCATAAGGACTCGTGAATGTGCCACAAGTGCTATCCACACATATGCCTAACTTTATTATTATTATACATTTAAATGCATCTTATTCATTCTTCAAATTTAATGATGAAATAAGTTTAGAAATTATGCAGATTTCTATTTCAAGACAAGTAAGTTTTGTCTCTTGAAGATGCATGGCATGTACACTACAAAAAAAAAGATCGCAGTTCTATAGCTCTCCTTCTACTGGGCCAATTGACGAAATTCAACTTGCGGTTTTCATGTCTCGAAAGCGCAATTTAAGATACGTATTACATTTATACATAGCATTGTTCAACCGTACTACAACCTACGAAAAATAAAAATTTGCTTCATAATATTTCATGTAAAAGAAAACTAAGCAGCGGTTAACTAAGATTCATTCAATCATATAATTTCAGTTTAAGCATGTCAGAATTTAATATAGTAATTTTGACACAAAATCGGACTTTTTCTGAAATGACATACCAATTTTTTTTCCATACATTTATTTCTTTATACATATATTTTTCTGTAACGAAATAATGGATTCGAGTCCACAAAAACCTTTTATTCACCACGGTCAACATGACATTTCCTTCATCTTTGTACATTCAGTCCATGACAAAGTGCGTACATTTTGTTACCTGTCAGTTTGTCTGCTGTGTAATCCAACAATTCTGACACTCTGGGAAGAAATAATGGAAAATTAAAATAAAGCTTTGGCAACAGTAATTACTGAAATTTATTTTCAAGTTCCATATTATTTCGGTTCACAGTGTGCCACTCGATATTCGAATGCGAGACGCGTCACGAACATGTTGCTATCTAATCTCACTTAGTTGATAGAAGGCCATGGCCACCATTTCCGTCAAATTTGCTGATCTCTGTTTCCTGCCGTTAGAGAAGCTGTATTCAGTCCTCAAATGAGACAGTATTAGTACAACCTACGAAAATTAAAAATTTGCTTCATAATATTTCATGCAAAAGAAAACTAAGCAGTGATTAACTAAGATTCATCAAATCATATAATTTGAGTTTAAGCATGTCAGAATTTATATGCTGGGTGTTTCACTTACTTTGACTACAAATTTAAAAAAATTTGTTTTTGCCTCGTTTTCTATCAAAGTGGACAAAATATGTGATAACGAAGGTAAATTTAGCATTTGGGATTTTTTTGACAAATGGTTTTCAAGCCAAAGGCTGGGACACGTATGTCCCAGCCGTAGTTAACGGTAAGATACGTATGTCCCACACGTAGCGATCGACTTACTGTAAGCACACCTATTATTCAGGAAAACATTATTATATGAAATAGATTTACATCCTATGGTACAGGGTAAAAATCATTCTTTGCATAACCCAACATTACACATTGGGCAGCTCATATTTGTTCTTTTCGCTACGTTCATTTGTGTATAACGAACACGGCGGCGTCTCGATTTTCCAACTATTGGAAGACGATCCCCAACTGTGAGAAGATTCTAAGTACTTTTTATCCCAAGCAGTCATTTTTAACTTTCAGTGGGACATACATATTCCGAAAGTAGTCAAAAAGTTAATGAAGACTTGGTTGCAAATGGGCATGCAAACAATTATTCCATACCAAAATATGTCACACATGGTGTAAGAAAAATATTTTATTTATTTCAACAATGCAAATGTTTATGAATATTTTCACTTTGTGAATTACAAATCACGAGAGCTTCATGTAATTTCCATGTATTATAAATTACACAGTTACAGATATTACTAAACATTAAATTAAAATTATTAATAAGTATACACTGCATTTAAATCAGGAAATTAGGTAAGCAATGCAATGTTTCAATTTAAGACACGCATTAAAGATCTTATAGAGCGTCGAATGGCAGGCCTTTTGAAAACTGGCAGTTTGCCAAGTTATGTCGATTACAAACATATTGCTAGAGCAAGTCTGTCGGTTGACGCGGAATTCCTCCTAAAGCGCGAAATTGGGCAACTTCAGGTTTTTTTTTTTTTTACTTTTTTGGTTGAATGGCAACGATTATTGTTATTTCTTAAGAAAAGTTTCCCCCCCCCTTTTTACGCAATGTTTAGAAAACGCAGTGTTCTCAGCTTATTCTAATGATGTTTATGTTTGCAATGCTAATTTAAGGCTGCATTTTACTTGAATAAAATAGCTGTTATTCTTTAAAATTATCGTATTCATTCATCTGGAGAACTTGTAGTTCATTTGAGTGATTTTAAAGGCGTCCGTAACTTTTCGTTTGCAGTTGTTTTTTACGTCTGATAACAACAACAAAAGGCTTGTGCCAATCAACTCTGCTGCAGCCTCAAAGCAGGATGATGAGATTCTTATTTATGTTTATGCTTGCATTTGTTTTATTTATTTTTTTAATTTTTGGATAAATTAATGGAAAATTGCAATTATTGTTTTCCGACCAAATCTGAGACAGCATAGTAGGTATAGGTTATGTTTAACTTCCAGTCTACTTTGCTGCTTCATTTTCATTTGCAAGGTAGTTATATCTAATTCCGTTTAAAACGTCTGATTCGCAAAGATATATCAACACAGATGGAAGCAGTGCACATACAACTAACCTTATTCTACGACTGTCATCATCTTGAAATGAAGAATAAGCCAAATGGCCTTCGTCTTTTGTACAACATTTTGATACCCATGACCATACCGCTCATCGTTCCTTGGTCTGTATTCTCTAATAATGAAACTGGTGCAAGTTTTATACCATTTCATTCCTCAATTCTTCGGCGCGTATTTCGAAAGGTCCGTGGTTCAAGCCTCGGCGAGGGCATTGCTCACTTTTCATCTCTCCTACTTTCAAAAAATGCCTAATTGTCTCTGCGGTGGCGCCCGAACTAAAAAAAGGGTGGTGAATGATGATTCTCCGCCACCAGGATCTGGCGATTGGGTCCCTTAATCTCCAGTCGCCCTTTAAAAGGGGGAAGTATATAAGGTATTTCTCCCGCTTAGCATGCCTTCGTGGCGTAATGGCCAGCGCACTCGGCGCGTATGAGAGGTCCGTGGTTCGAGTCCCGGCGAGGGCACTGCTCATTTTTCACTTCTTCCTACTTCAAATTAACCTAGTGTCTCTACGTCTATTCGGCATATATAATCTTTCAGGTTATGCACCAGGAACTCCACCACATCCTCAATCTATCAATTTTCAGGTCGCACGGCTTGATTAAATTTTCCTCAGTTTCTGTATGTTTTTCCCCCTGCTTTGTTATCTCGAGAGCTACGATACAGGAAACTTCCATAGTCTCATGATCTGGTTCATGGAATTATGCGTCATCTCTTTTAAAAGAAAATACATAGCGAGCGAAAAATACTTCTTGTCTTTATATTCAGTGGGAACATTGTAAACATAAAACTGTTGGAAAAAAAAAAAAAAAGCAATCGAGGAAAAACAGAGCCAGAACTTCGAAACACAGCATGCAAATGTGGTTTGTTAAGTTAAGTAAATGATTAAACTTGCAGCATCATTCAGAATTGTGGAGCGATACAGTGCGCGTGTGAAGTTTACAGCTGGTAGAATGTTAAAGGGCAGGTGTGATGAGGGACGAGCATTTACAACCTCTGATATGCTGACGGCTTGGATAGATTGTAATAAATTTGTAATGTGGCATTGCAATGAAAGATGCGTTTGATACGTACTCGATGACATTACAAACATTTGTCATACTTTGAGAAGGGTCGCAATCATAGGGCTAAAAGAGGCAGGTTGGCTGAATAAACGGATCTGAATATTGGTCAAAGTGACGTGGTCGATGTTATGTCATGTTATGCTATCGCCGATTAAATGCCATTTGCCTACTCGCATGGATTCTGGAATATCCAGGGATACGATTCGCAGGAGACTACAAGCTGGGTTAAGATCTTGACGTCTATTAAGATGCTTACCATTGACATTCTAGCGTAAGCAGTATCGTTTGCATAGTGCAGAGCAGTGCCGCTGTCGCTCAAGCTGGATAGTGTCCGATCGGAGAAAGTGATATTCAGTGATGAATCCCACTTTTTTGTCAATGCCTGATGACCGCTGTGTACGTGTCCGAAGACGAAGAGGTGAGCGGTCCAATGTAACCAAGCAGAATATAGAGTGTTATAGTCTGAGGAGCGATCAGATGAGACAGCCGTTCACCATTAGTCACGCTGCGAGGTATTCTGACTGCTGAAAGGTGTGTTGATGAAATTTTGCAGTCGATCGTACTGCTTGTGCTAGCTGATAGTCCAAGTTGTGTTTTCCGACAGGACAGTGCTCCGCCACATACAGCATGACTTTCCAACAATGTCTTCAACATGTCCTTGACTGACCTTACAGCTCTCGCTTATCAAACATGTTGGGCAACTAAATTCAGCCATGTACAAATACGAAATACTGAATAAAATTATAGATTTGTATGAATTACAAACAAAAAGGACACTCTTCTTTATATTATTATGTGCGCACCGATGATAGCTTGCTGAAATTAATTTTTCCAAAAGCGGTTTAAAGTTCTGGAACTTCAGCTTTTTCTGCTCATTTAGCGAAATAAAATTTAAATAGATAAAATAATACTACAAAAGTAAATCCATTATTATCATTAAGATTGCAAGCGACTTTTATGACCGCTAATATTACAAGCTCGCAGAGTGATCTGAGCTAAACTCTAAACTAAATTGAAAAACTAATGCTTTCTCCAATTTTATATAGTTTTTCCCTGTCCGCCGAAAAATTTCCAGTACCTTCGATTTCTTGAAATTGCTGGAAGGTTTAGACAGTTAAGAGTTACACAGAGATCGAAACAGTTACAGTTACACAAGAATCGGACCAAAATGTCGCTAAGCTTGGCGACAATACCCCAGCTTCGTGCTATTTCGCCAGTTTGGCAAGGCAGCCAAACGTTATAATGTTAACGATGTTAAATTGGACTTACCTTTGTAGCCCTGTTTTTGTGACGATGCTTCGCCCTCTGACGCCTTTCATGTCACATTTTACAGGTGGTACTACAATTTACGCATAGGTTCATTAAAATTATTTACCATATGTACAAAATTCATAGCATTTTCCCTTCCCAAAGACTGCATATCCCGGGCAGTGAGACTCCCGGACAGGTAGCCATAATTACAACTAAGGAAAATCAATAACTGAACACCAACGCAATACTAAAATAATAATTTCAATAAATAACGTACAACAAATCAAACACCAAGTCAATAAATAAATGCATACATTTACAAATTCATATACCCGAAGGACCATGATCTATTTACATTATATACACTATGGCCATAGTAAGGGACTAGCCTCTCGTAATGAACGATTTATACTTAGAATCTGATGACATATGGATCCGAACTACGTCGCCGTTCAGCTTGGTTCTTTCCAAACATCGGCACAGAAATTAGAAGCTCCAAGCCCTTCCTAACTTATTATCTCACCGGTCATGTCCCATATCCAGATTATTTTCTGAAAAGGAACCTCTCCAATAGCGACAATGGCGTGTGTGGAGTCAAAGGAGATGCAGACCATTATCTATGCTTCTGCCGTCTCACACATTCGGAAACCCACCAATCTAGATTCTAACTTTAAAAGACTGGAAATTTTCTCTTTCTACATCCCTGTGGGGCGAGGTACTGCGTTTGACGGTGAAATTGCTGCGATTCGCACAGCTCTGTACCAGCTACCATGCCACTTGGAAAAATTCACAAGAGCTGTTATACTCAGTGATTCCCGAGCTGCTGTGTTGGTTATCGTTTCAGATAAAAATCCCACATCACAGGATATATTGGATTGTCGACATTATCTACAAAACCTGCTTCACTTGAGAAAACTATAGTCCTCCAGTGGGTTCCTACCCACTGTGGGATTCCAGGTAACGAAGAAAGCCGACTTCTTGGCAAAAAAGGGTGCTTTAATCATGCAGAATATTTCTCGTCCTTTGCCTTTCCATACTGTTAGGACCTTATTAAAAGATCTGTCAAAGTACGTGCTCAGGAAGATCTCTATCATCGTGTTTCTCATAAGTCTTGGAAGAATGCTATCCCGAATTTGTGTAATGGCCCAAGGCGTAGAGCGGTCGCTGAATTCCGCCTTGCCACCGGACATGACTGCCTACAATATCATTTTCATAGATTCAAAATTGTTCCTTCTCCTATATGCACTCCGTGCAGCTCTGGAGAGGTGATGGATGCCGCACATCTATCCATTGTCCTACTCTGCGCAAGACTTTTCTCGCCGCGCGTTACTGGGAACTGGGAGGCAAGAGATATGTTAGATTAATGGACTCTGTTACAGCTGTGGTTTTTTTTTTTTTTTTTTTTCATTATGATGTTATATTCTACGTCCTTGTGCTTTTGCTGTAACTGTTCATAATCTGCCATTTTGGAGGGGGGAAAATAAAAAAAAGAACCTTTAAAGACTGGTGATAGCTCAACACAACCTATATCCAAAAATCATGTTAAGTACACAAAAAGCTCGGTGCTTTAGGACTGGACCTATGCCGAAGCACAAGTTATATCCGAAAACGATAAAGCCGAAACGAAAGAGCAATGTCTAGGTCACACACCAATAATTTACTCCGTGCTAGAGTAACAATTTCCATACTGCTCCAAAATACCTAACTTATTAAGCTGAGACCATGAGCTTATTACTTATGACTGAAAGATCTGAGGTCAGATCTGATTACCTGTAACAAATGCCATATAACAAGATTCCGACTCCCAACATATTAGCAAAATCAAATCGCGTATATACTTCCATAAAAATGCAAAATTTCCCATACAACGATCTCCAAAATATCAGCTCTACTATATTTACGTAATCCAATATTTTAATGAGTATTCTAAACAGTTTGTGTAATTTATGTAACTTTGTATGTAATTTTATGTTATTATCTTCTTATATTTAAATGTAACAATTCCGATGTATGACTTCAGTATTACTTAGATATAGCATATAGTTAGTTCAAGTATTTCATACTCTAGCTGGTTAGTGTATTGGGGCAATACCTGTTTGATTCTGTAGTGAAGTTTTTGGTGCTCCCATGCACTTTTACTTGTTTACCTGTTCAGGATTGTGTAAGGACCGTCCCAGGGTGACTGTAGTTTAGGAGAAACTCCTTTCCTTCGAATTGGATTCCATAACCACACTTTGTCATTTTTGTTAAATTGATGTCCTGTAGTTCTCGTGTCGAACTGGGCCTTCATCTTCTCCGTCACCAAGCTGACTTGCTGTCGAGCAAAATTGTGCATCATTTGAAACCGTGCCTGGAGAATGGCACCTCAGGCGATCCGAAGGGCAATCAAACAATAAATCAAATAGCTGACGGAGAGCGTCTGGGATCGGAATAGCACTACGGTGGGCCAGTATGGTCCTAGTCCTGTTGATTTCTGGAAACAATTAGCGAGTGGTTACTAAAGGTAGTTAGATTAAACCTCTCTACCGTGGCTGTGGGTGTAAAGGAGTCGTTTGGGTTTTGTCTATGCCGAGTAATTTACGAAGGTCTTTTATTACAGCCGAGATAAAATTCCTTCTTCAATTTTCGTACATCAAGGAGCAAAAATGGAATTGGTCGCTCATCCTTTGTATTCTGGATAAGTTATTGGTTGGATAAGACTTGTTATGGCGGGTGGCAGAAACGCAACACAGATTTTTTTGCATGTTCCTTAGCCCCTTTTAATATATTAGTAGCCAGCTTATTTTCTTATCCCATTTCATATTTTTTATCTCACAGGCCTAAATTTCGGATTTAAATTTAGATCTTCAAAAGTACCTTTATTTTGATATTGGCGGTTATGAGGATTTTATAGTACTTGATTTAAATCACCATGTTTGCCAATTGATCAATCTGAAAACATTAAATTTTTAGTCGTATTTATAGGAACCGACAGAGAAATCTTTATTTAATATCTGGTATGGTGACTTCGGACAGATATGGGATCTTCACACCTTGATGTCATAAAGTTTAGTGAATTGTTTTGGAATTCCACGCCAGTCTTCTGAATGTGCACTATTTAGATCCTGACAGACATCGGGCTCGGTGCAGTTTTGTTATCCAATGCATGCTTACTAGGACTGAAGTGTGTTGAATAGACTAGTCAATCCACTGGAGAGATATCTTCTGTTTCCGGAAATTCTGAGAACAGCGTTATTAGTCATTACCAAAACGTCTGGGCCAATAGCATCCCTAAAAAGCCTTACATATGATTCCACTGCAAACCATGCAACTGCTTCCCTGGATTTGTATGAACAAGGTAAGGCAAGTTGCGTGTTCCTGGTTCTTTCCAGTTCTTCCAGCTGCAATTCAGGTTTTTACCTGGAGTCGTTAATAAACAGTGCAAGCTCCCATTCCTCTTGGCTGTACTGAGTATGATGAGGGTACCATGTTAAAGGGGTCGCTATAGAAGATGGAGGGAGTGAGACGCAAACTATCGGTTTTTCAAGCATAACGTCAAACTTCATGCAGCAATAGAACGGTTGAGTAGAATTTTCTGTGTCACCAAACCTTTTTCAAGCGCTTCGACAATGAAATCAAATGTTCTTGGGATTAAATTGTTAACACCGTACATCTTTGATGACGCTGTCTATTAATTGAATGATTGCGGTTTGAAGTTACTGAAATGTATATTGAGATCTTGCGCCACCTCTATGTGCGTACGAATGAAGTGCGAGTTTTGTCTTTTTATTTGACGGCTTAGGATAAATAATAATCCTCAAAATCTAAATTAAACATGGTTATACATTCACATTTTAGCATGTGTGCTTTGGGGAACATGTTGTTAGTTGCGTACTTTTGAGCGTTAAAGTATGGGAGGGAAGAAGGTCCGGTTTTACTTTACTTTTCAGATAATCTAGATATTCGTTTATAACTTTATAACTAATCATAATTTTTTTTTTTCAGATTGCTGAAGACTGGAAGAAGGAGGGAAAAAAAAAAAAAAAAACTTATCTTGTATGTAGCGGTCTTGAAGTGGAACCTCGTTTGGGTAGCGTAGATTCCATCAGAATAGGAAAAGGATCTGTTCGTTATTTTATAGAACGTATTGTTGTTCAAAGTAATGACGGGAACTAGGGGAAAAAAAAAAAAGAAGAATTGCACCTATTGCTGAGGGAAAATACGAAAGAAAAAGTAATGTTTTAAAAGCGAATTGGGTTGAAGTACCTAAGAAAATAATCATCTTCCGGGGCCCCAGAGAGAGGTTGGCAAGACACTCGGCTTCTACAGAACGGTCTCAAGATCTATCCTCGGTAAGTAAGTGATATTGAATACTAATAGTTAAATGTATTATTTTACATTTAACTATTAGAGATATAAGTATGGAAAGAAGTATTGAATTGTAAAAATGAAGGAATAATGTAGAAGTATAAGGGAGGTGGTGTAATAAAGAAAATTGTTGTAAGTTTCAGGTTAAACGAAAGAAAAAACAAAGAAAGGAAAGGAAGTCCCTACAGAAGAAAATTAAAATAGGTACGTAAATAAGGAAGAAAGAAGATAAGAAAATATCCGGGTGGCACAGGAAGCAGCCCCGAAAAAAAAGAAAGAGGAGATTAATTTAGGAGGAAAACGGTGCCACCCGGAAAGGGGCTTTTGTAAAATTTTTCCATCTCCAGAGATTTTGTACGTGAACCTTTAGATTTTATTTTGAAGTTTATTTCTAACACAAATGTTGTTGATCTGGTGTGTACAAGTAAAAATAAATTTGTTTTACGGTGTTATGGGTCTTTATTGTTTATGTTTAAATATTCATCAAGATATTTTTTTGCGTCTAAAATTCAGTTCATCTCGGCGTTTAAAAATCAGTTCATCAAGATATGTTTTTGGCGATTAAAAATCAGTTCATCTCGGCGTCTAAAATTCAGTTCATCAAGATATTTTTGCGGCGTTTAAAAATCAGTTCATCAAGATATTTTTTGGGCGTTTAAAAATAAGTTCATCAAGATATTTTTGTGGCGTTTAAAAATCAGATCATCAGTTAAATTTATCGTCGTTTAAAAATTTTAGCCTCTAACCTCTTCATTTTTGTAGAATATATTAACTTGCTTTATTTATGAAAGTAATTATAAATTAATTTTATGAACTCGAAATATTTACATTTTTCCTGTAATTCAATTCATTCTTCACAAAATCCAGCTCTTTTGTATATTGTTAACCCTCTGGCCTATAACGGCCTATCACGAGTCTGGCTCGTGATAAAGAAGTTGTGTCATAAGCAAAAGCTACGAGTCTGAGTCGTGATAAAGAATTTGCCATAAGCAAAAGCTATGAGTCTGACTCGTGAGGAATTTGTGTATAAAATGCCAAGTAGAGAAAGCAATTGGAGTTATTCTACATCGAATATTTTTCATTTGATTGTAACGTATTTTGTTTTTTCAGTTGTTTTTCTGACGAAACTGGATGATCTGTTACTTCCTCGTATAGCTCCGTTACGTTCACACGTTTCAGGTATAATTTCGTATAAAGAATTAAAAACCTCTTATACCCATCATGCCAAACTCTCATACCATCATGCGATTATTTTTGTCAACTGATCAATTGATTATGATTACACCCTAGACTTCTTAAAATGAACTATTTGTACCTAAGCATTGTTTATTATTTCACAATTCTTTTCGTTACACGGAAATATATATGTCATGAAACTATACATTTTGCGCCAGTTCGGATACACGGCTGAACAGTTTTATGGCACGGCGCGTGACTGACTTTCTTGTTTACTATAGCTCGCGCAACTGGCAGATATCGTGTAGGCCAAGGGGTTAATGATTAAAACAAATTACCTTTCTAAGCATATTGGGGTCTTCCATTTATTAGGAAACATTTATTAACAGCATCCGCTGTCTAATGTTATCTGATGTTCGGGTAAATCATGATAATCAGAAATATATCTCCAATGAACTTTATCTTATCAGCTTTATTTTTTATGCACGTTACGTTATTTTATACCTCTACACCGAACTTCCATTGCATAAAAATAAGATTTAAAGAACTCTGCGGATTTCTATGAATGAAATTTTTTATGAATTTCTTCAGAATTTCTACACGTTTTAACTAAAGTAAAGCATTCTTACTCTTTAAAATCATCTAAATTTTGAATGTTAGGAGGCATATCTTCCCCCCCTCCCGAAATTAAATTACCGGGACACACTTTTACATTATTGTCCTTTTATCTTCGCTCCTACGTTTTTATACATTCCAAACAAAAGCTAAACTGAGCAGATATAACATCTGCTTTTTGGAGTACCAAAATACACACTAAACACAGTTTGCGACACCAAAGAACTTGAATGGGATCTCTCATTCCATTGAAGGTGTTTGGATAAGCTATTCACACAAATCTCTCTTTAAAGCTGATCAGAGCTTAAATTGCGCCGGAAGCGCACCGCAGCCCTAAATAAGAAGGCTTTGGCACTTCTTTTATCTAACTAAACAACAATTTTAGTAGAAATGGGATATCAAAATTTTATTTTTAGCAATAAAATTATATTAAAAATTGGTCATTAAACTTTAATTTACCTCTTTGCAATTTATTTAGTTTAATCATTTAATTACTTTACTCCTTAATTAATAAATTAATACACAATAGTAAATTAACTATGAATTCAATAATAATTATTAATAAATATTCATTATTAACATCCATGCTACAATTAAATCATTTTTAAATTATTAATGATTTTAATAGTCATTTTATTCCTGTATTTACTCTTGTTTCTCTTTCCTTCCTGTTTTCTATAGGGCTCCGACACTTCTACTTTTAGAAATTAAGCCCTGAAGCTGACGTTATGATGGAAATTTTTGCTATTCAAGAAAAGAGGAAGTAGTGGATAGATAGTATGAGCTTGGGAAGAATAAAATTTCTTTTATCTTACAATAAAATCTAATAAACAACAAGTAGAAATGATATCAAAATTAGCAATAAAATTAAAATTTCATTAAACATTTAAATTACTTTAAAAATAATAACAATAGTAAATTAACTATGAATTCAATAAAATTATTAATAAATATTCATTGTTAACATCCATCTACAATTAAATCATTTTTAAATTTTAATGATTTTAATAGTCATTTTATTCCTTTATTTACTCTTGGTTTCTCTTTCCTGCCGGTCTTCTATAGGGCTCCGGTACTTCTACTTTTAGAAATTAAGCCCTGAATCTGATGTTATGACGGAAATTTTTGCTATTAAGAAAAGGAAAAAGAGGAGCTTGGGAAGAATAAAATTTTCTACATTCATAAAATACATAAGGCATTTCCAAGCAATAAAAATAAATAAATATATAAAATAAAAATACAACCATCAACCCAAATACATCCTTAATTCTAAAAATAAGGATGAAATGCAACCTTATCTACATCTCTTCTTAGACCAGTAGGATTTCCTGAACCAGTTTCATGAAGAAATAATAAATGTAAAACAACAAAAACAAAATTACAAACTGCAAAATTAAATGAAAAGCAAAAAAAAAAAAAAAAATCGAGTCAAAGTAGAATTCTCAAAAATTCAAAGAATTCAAAGCCACTAAATTGCAAATCATGTCAAATCCATCTCAAACTCGCTCTACTAATATTACTCCAACATAAGGCACAGCAGACGCAAGTTATTCATCTTTTAGGAAATGAACATTTTGTATCGTTATCAGTTTGTTTTAGTTCGGTATTTAAAATGCTTATTAAGTCCTTTCTTGTGAGTGGGGGGGGGAATTTTGCATTCCTTAGGTCTTTCGCAGGATTTTCGAACGTTATTTAGAATTTAACAAATATTCTAGAAACAGCTAATCCACTGAATATATCTTTCCATGCCTAAATAATTTTTTTAATGCCAGGAGAAGTAGCAGTTAAAATTAAATACGAAATGACAAGCCTAATCTGGATATCAAGTACCAGTTCAGGCATCATATTTGAAAGCCCAACACAGCAAGCCCACACCAATTCGGTTTGTTCTCCAATAAAAGCACTGTACCTGCAATCAATGAAGTTCTACAGCAGATGAAAAAATAAAGTGCAGAATCAGGACTCGGCTTTGATGTGCCTACACATCCAAAAAACCTTCGATTCGTGCTGCTGGCCGGAGGTTCTAGGAACATTAAAAAATATAAACTGTCCAAAAAACAATTATGAAAGTTTTCAAGATTACTTCACTAACAAACGCAGTGTAATTATAACTAACAACCACGGTATGACTGAAAATGTCAGAGTCTGTCCACAGGCCTCATGCCTAAGTGCAGATTTTTAGAATCTGGAATTTGACAAAATCACTAAGCAAAAATGGCCTTAACACTCTGAGCATAGCTTTCATGGACGATGTGGCTTTTGTTATGAGTGATAGTTCGAGAGCCGAGTTACAAAGAAATGTAAGCAACACAGTAGAAAATTGCAATTCTCTACGAAAACAGTGAAAGTTAATAATTTCTCAAGAAAACTCCCACCCCTTAATTGTTCACAGACCCTCATAAAACGTAGCAAGACTTCCACGATTCGAAATCGAAGGAGGCAGAATGAAAATAGTTAACTCCCTAAAATACTTAACCCTTTCCAAGCACGCTACCTTTTAAAGTTGGAGTTTTGATTTAAAAAAAAGGTAGGCAGTCTAATTAGGCCTAGAGGAGTACACAAGTAAAGTTTTCTGAAGATAGCACTTATCGTTTAATTTTGAGGATGTGCCCAAAGGGGCACACTGATTGAATAGAGCTTCGAAAAGAGTGCTGAAACGAGCACTGTTGTCAATGAACTGACCGATGAGATGCGGAGAAACAAAGAATACAGACTCTCAGTTGTCCTACATTATCGGTGAGCCCGGTCTGGGTACACTTAGGGTTCGCCGTTTGATTTTAGACAAGATTTCAAGGTAAAAATTTAAAACTAATATAGAATAAGGAGATTAGCATACAGCCAAAAAAATAACATAGAAATTTCTTTTCAAACAATTCCTTTTATACCCTAAAATAAAATCTGGAAAATTTCTTTGAAAAATGAGGGTCTTAAAAAACTAAACATGGCTAAAATATATGGACTGGTTTGTGTTGAGCTGCCATCTACTTTAAATAAAGAAGGTTCAGAGTAACCTATAAATTCTTTTTCATTCAATTTTTCTGTGCGTACAGAAGGAAATTTTTAGGTGTGCCCAGACCGGACACACTGTGCCGCAAAGGGTTAAGCATCATCATGCATGAAAAGCTTCTGAAAAAAAGTTCCACTTATACTATTCCAAGCGGAATCAGTACAGCTTCTGGAAGCAATAAAATACAGGACAAACGGAGAAAATACTTCAAAAAGAAAATGGTATACCAACACTTAACACTGCATCAGGTATTCTAAACACTTGCTGCTTTTAAAATTTTTGTAATTTTGCCTTTCAATTGCATATAGCATAAGTTCAAAAAAAATGAAACTTTTCAGGTATTTTTTCCCTTTTTTCTGCATACCTTCGTGGTGTAACGGTTAGCACACGGCGCGTATTCGAACGGTCCAGTTGCGAGCCCCGGCAAAGGCATTGCTCATCTTTCATGCACTCTTGCTTCAAAAAAACCTGATGTCCCTACAAGCTTAATAATAAAGCTAAAAGTACACAAATAAATGGATTAGCAGAAGTGAGTAGGACAGAGACTGGAAGACTGCTAGCTCAACGATAGCGTAGAAAAACCTTAACAAACTCTTTGGGCAAGATTTTTTTCAGCCTTTCTTTTATGTTAAGAAAGAAGAAATTTCATTTATT